GTCAGTCCCCTGGTAGGCTGTGCTGGAGGCCAGTGGCGTCAACGAGGGGAGGGCAGTTGCTCTGGCGTCTGAGGGAAGAGGCAAGGTCTGAAACCACCCTAAGTCTCCCTGTGGCCCTGAAATTAGGAAAGAGGAAAACACTGGCTTGCCCCAGGGACAGAAGGAAAGCAAATGGAGGGAAACACCTGTGGCCACTGTCTGGCTCAGATGACACTGAGTTCCACCCTTCCTGCTCTGCAAAGCGACCCTCACGGGACCCCTCAGGGCCTCAAGGCATGTGCCACTGGAAGATCCCTCTGCAGGGGCTTCCTGACTGCCAACCCACCCTAGAGCTTTGGGGACTCTCAGGTGGCCCAGCCTTGCCACAGAAATGTAGCCAGTGCATAGGTGTCCAGAGGAGCCCTCTGCCCAGAGCAGTGGCAGCCAGGGTGACAGAAGTACCCACTCCACGTACGGAAGGATCATGGGCTGCCGTGGGGCAACGGGGTTTGGGGAACGTCAGTCCTGGCACAGAGAACCAGAGGCAAAAAGCACCCCCAGACCTTCGCATGGTTCCTCATTATCGTACTGGTCTGAGCCCAGCTGTCACCCCTCAGAGCCTTCCTCTGATTCCCTAGTCCAAAACAGCCTCCCTGTCGCTCACAGCAGCCCGTTTTACCTTCTCTATACTACTTTCACTTTCTGATAGTTTGCTACTGATTTAAGCTGCTCTCCCTGATCAGAATGAAAGCCCCATGAGGGCAGCGGCCTTGTCTTACCTGCTGCTGGGCCACCGGTGCTAGAACGGTGCCTGGCAATGATACCTAAGAATACCTGGGCAATAATGAATGATGGACGAGCCCAAACACCCACAGACCTTTAAACACCAATGAGGGCAGGTGTGAACAGCTAGCTGGCTCAGCCTTTCTCCTCGAAACCACCCTAAGTCTCCCTGTGGCCCTGAAATTAGGAAAGAGGAAAACACTGGCTTGCCCCAGGGACAGAAGGAAAGCAAATGGAGGGAAACACCTGTGGCCACTGTCTGGCTCAGATGACACTGAGTTCCACCCTTCCTGCTCTGCAAAGCGACCCTCACGGGACCCCTCAGGGCCTCAAGGCATGTGCCACTGGAAGATCCCTCTGCAGGGGCTTCCTGACTGCCAACCCACCCTAGAGCTTTGGGGACTCTCAGGTGGCCCAGCCTTGCCACAGAAATGTAGCCAGTGCATAGGTGTCCAGAGGAGCCCTCTGCCCAGAGCAGTGGCAGCCAGGGTGACAGAAGTACCCACTCCACGTACGGAAGGATCATGGGCTGCCGTGGGGCAACGGGGTTTGGGGAACGTCAGTCCTGGCACAGAGAACCAGAGGCAAAAAGCACCCCCAGACCTTCGCATGGTTCCTCATTATCGTACTGGTCTGAGCCCAGCTGTCACCCCTCAGAGCCTTCCTCTGATTCCCTAGTCCAAAACAGCCTCCCTGTCGCTCACAGCAGCCCGTTTTACCTTCTCTATACTACTTTCACTTTCTGATAGTTTGCTACTGATTTAAGCTGCTCTCCCTGATCAGAATGAAAGCCCCATGAGGGCAGCGGCCTTGTCTTACCTGCTGCTGGGTCACCAGTGCCTAGAACGGTGCCTGGCAATGATACCTAAGAATACCTGGGCAATAATGAATGATGGACGAGCCCAAACACCCACAGACCTTTAAACACCAATGAGGGCAGGTGTGAACAGCTAGCTGGCTCAGCCTTTCTCCTCTCTACTTTCCCTTGGGAAATATGACCTTTTGAAAAAGTTAATTCTAGTATTTTAAAATACCTTTATTGTTCTTTCTGATGACATAATAGCATGTGTTCACAGTTAAAATGTAAATGACAGAAAGGAATGACTTTAAAAAGCAGAAATCCCTGACAATCCCACATTTTAGAGAAAGTAATTATTAATGCTGTGGCATACAGTCATCCAGAATCAAATTTTATTTTAAAAGAACCTATGTATCATGGACAGAAGATATATTCTTAATTCCAAGCTAGCAATTACTATCACTTCCCCCTCGTGATCCTGGCTCCTGTGTGGATTTTGCAAGTTACTGGAATGTGCTTATTCTGTAACCTGCCATTTTCACTTACTACATCATAACTGTTTTTCCAAGCTGTTCTATAACCTATATGCTCATTATTATAATGGCTATGTAATATTCCACCAAGTGAAAAACTGTAATTTACTTAAATTGTTTCTCATTTCCACTATGACAAATGACACCACAAGAAACATCTTTTATGTCTGTAACAAAACAAAACAGCCCTTTTTCCTTCAGAACTATTTCCTAATGAAATATTTATTTCGTTTTCTCAATTTTTAAATTTTTTACATTTATTTATTTTGTCATAGGGCTTGTGTGCTCACTAGAGAGAGACAGAGAGAGGGACAGTGAGAAATCACCCCCCACAATATCTTCTCCTCCATTCTCCTCTTGGGATACTGGGTACGCATGCATATGCACTTGGCATGATTTTCAAGCTGCTAGATCTGGGACTCCAACCACAGACTGACCATGTAGGAGTCCAGTGCCTTAACCACCACACCACCTGCTGGCCTTCTTTCTTTTTCTTTTCTTTTTTTTCAGAGACGTTTTAGCTAAAGGGCATATGTACTTACTGGGGAGACAGAGAGAGACAGGGAGACAGAAAGTGAGAAATCACCCCTCAGGGTGGATGGCCACGGCGCAATTCCTTTTCTCCCAGTCTCCTCTCAGGATTTTGAGTAAGCACATACATGCACCCGGCATGACTTTGAAGCCGCTGGGTCCGGGACTTAAACTGCAGGCACTATGTGGCAGTCCAGAGACAAAAACATTATGCCATCTGCTGGCCCTGCCTCCTTTCTTTTTTACAAAACTGCCAGAGGGTATGTGTGCTCACCAGAGAGACAGAGAGAGAGGGAGAAAGCATCCCCCCAGTGAGATGTGGTCACCCACAGTCTGTTCTCCTCCATTTCTCCATCTTGTCAGGATCTGAGGCATTTGCACACATGCCTGGAGTGTTTTTTAAGTTGCCAGGACCAGGATTTGAACTGCAGTCAGCCACATGGCATCTGGCTCACTTAAACACTAAGCTATAGAGTCAGCCCCTTAATAAAAGAGTTTTGCTTTGTTTTTTCGTTTGCTATAGGGAGCATGCACTTGCCAGAGAGAGACAGTGAGAGAGAAAGTGAGAAAATAACCCCCTGGGGTTATGACCACTCCACAGTCCCTTCTCCTCCACTCTCTTGGGATTTCAGGCACACATGCACATGTGCCTGGCACATTTTTCAAGCCATCAGCTCTGGGACTCGAACTGCATAGTCAGCCATGTGGGATCTAGCTGCCTTAACCACCATGCTACCTGACTGGCCTAAAAGGTTCTTTTTTCTTTTTAAAATAATTATTTATTTAATTTTACTTACTATTATCATTTTAAAATTTGCTATAGGGTGTATGCACTCATCAGAGAGAGACACACAGAGAGAGAAAGTGTAAAAGCCAGCCTCCAGGCCTGGGACTCAAACCATGGTCAGCCATGTGGGAGTTCAGTGTGTTAAGTACCACGCCACTTGTGGCCCCCCTGAAAGGGTCTCTTTTTTAAAAAATTATTAGTAATTTAATTTTATTAATTATTGTTTTTTATTTTTTAATTTGCTATAGAGTATGTGTGCTCACCAGAGAAAGACAGAAAGAGAAGAAAAGTGAGAAGGCAAACTGCCAGGTCTGGGACTCGAACCACAGTCAGTCATGTGGGATTCCAGTGCCTCAACCACCACACCACCTGCTAATCTCCACCCTCCAAAAGGCTCTTAATGAGTCATTCCAGAAATGGAATCACTGGACCAAAGGGTACAATAGCCTTAAGGCTGCTGCATGGACTGCTCTGGGGAGCTGTGTCATGTGCGGAATAGGTCTCCCATGTGAGTCACCACATTCCCACAGTGGCTTCCAAGGCCATCTCTTCACCTCCCAATTCCTTCCCCTGGTCCGGGCTTGCTCATACTATATACTGGCTACAAATCATCCCCCAAACATATTTCCTGACAGACCATCCAGTTACAAACTAATTTTGCAAGCCTAGACTGAGTGGAAAACAGATGCTGGCCCTGAGTTGTAAACTCTCAACTAGGAGAGTCGAGGTCTACCTAAGGCTGAAAAATACTTGGGTACCCTTTTCCCACTCCCTGCTGATTCCTGCATGGACTGCAAGGCTCTGGGTTCCTGTGGACTAGCCCAGGAGCTCCTTAAACCTTGTCCAGTCAGGACTGCAAAAATGCCAGCATGCCTGCCCTGCCTTCCAGGGTATTCCTCCCACTGGTCACTGATCCCACTGTCAAATCGTCTGCCCTGTACAGAGAGTGGCCTCAGGTCAAGCAGGCCTCTGGGCTTTGGAAAGCAGCCAATTGTCATTTTTAAAAAGTATCGAAGGAAAAGTGGGAGGCTAAGGCTGGGAAGAAAGGCCATGTGAGGACAGGAGAAGCTGCAAAATCTGGAGCTTCTCACCCTACACGGAGCTTGCCTTGATGAGGCCAAGATGCTGCTTAATCTGGCAAGAGCAAGAGGACTCGCTCCTCCAGACTAGTGGCTACTTTTATGGCAGCGGAGGCTCCTGAATCCCTCACCTCCCAGGTCCATGGATGCTCTACCCAAGGCCTTCTGGGCCAGGACCAGGCAGAGTCCAAATCCAGGTGAGGCACAGTTCCCACTGCGTGGATGGAAAGCCTGACACCCAAAGTGTCTGGGAACCCACAAACATGGTAGCACATCCAGGGTGTCTCTCTTCACTCGAGTCAGACAATTTGGGCCTGGGCAGTTTTTACAGGCCATGCATCTATAAGAGATGGGATCTAAAACTACTTGACAATCCCCTGCCATGCAAGAATTGTAGCCCCGAGATGGGCCTAGAACTAGAACCTCTAGACCAAGGCCTATACCGATGAGGCGCCAGGCAGGCGGGCAGGCAGGGCTGCTGGTCCCCGGGGTGTCTATAACATACTCACTTATCACACTCTTGAGTGCACAGCTCAGAACAGACATCAGGATCGCTGTCCAGGAGTGTCCCGGGTTAACCTTTGTCCTGGTGCCAGTCTGGGCCTAAGTGCCATTCTCAGCAATGCAGGCAAGCATCAACCCCAGGGTTCAGCTGATCCCCGGCTGGTGGGCAGGAGGCTTCCATGTGTCCCTGGGAATAAAAGAAGAGGCCTTCATTAGCTTAAGCTGCCCCCAGCTCCAAGCCACCAGGCCAGCCAGAGAGACAGGTCCCAGGCAAACTCAGCAGGGTTGCAGGCCTCGGCTCCAGGATCAGCACCAGATGCCTATCCTGCTCGGCCACCAAGGCCCCTGTCCCGGAACTGCAGCCTCCTCTCTGCCATGCAGTTTGCTCAGGTGTGGCTACCCCAGCTGTGAGAGCCTGAGCTGGTTCCTGAACAAGGCATGGGGTGAGGGCCTAGTGCTTCTGGCACCATGAGCGAATATGAGCACAATTGGAAATCTGAGAGGGAGTAGTCTGGAATCCAGTTCCCTTATCATTTGCCTTCAAATCACACTCTGACCTTCACTCTGTGTAGTGGGCACATCTGTTAGCAAGGGCAGTCAAGAACCTCACAGAAGGCAGGCCATGGAGGGCATTCGTTTTAGCGTTTTAGGAGTCAAGTCCAACCATACCAGAACGACAAGCAAACACAATGTGTGCTAAAACCCTCTACCGCCCTAATATTTCTTTTTCTCGTTTCATTATTTTACTATGATTATTGTTGAGGCTCTTTCTATTGACATTGACAACTGGCTACAAGCTGATACAAATCAACTTTATACTATACCATTCTTTATCATTGCTGGGTACATGTGTTTCTTTTATTATGCCAGAGGGCATGAGAGAGGCGCATGGGAAGAGAAAGCTCACACAGGGCTTGGTCACACCATGATCCCTTTTCTCCAGTTCTCCATCCTGCCAGGATCCTGGGCTCAAATGCCAGAACTGTAAGCCACCAGGACCAGGACTTGAACCGCATGGCCATGTGGGATCCTGCTTCTTCCATACAGCATTTAACCACTGTGCTAGGGAACCAGCCCCACATACATGTATTTAATAATATCCCTAAGATTTAACCATTTGACATTCCAACATTTTTTGCTTTACTGTGAAGGTGCTGAAGCGTCCCTGAAAAGCCCCTGGATAACAGAGCTGTCCGCACACACCTGAGGTCAGAGTTCAGACCCAGCGCCACATGATCCTACTAAAGGACAGACCAGACACTTGGAAGATAAAAACAGTTAGTGGTTGGGGGTGGGAGCAGATGGCCAAGCAGGGTGGACCCCAAGGTGCCAGCCCATGCTGACATAGCCACCCTCCTCTCCCCGGCCCCAGGCTCTCTGAGCAGAAGGAACTCAGGCCTTTGCTGACAACTTGTGAACCAGCTGGGACAGAGAAGTGAAAGGGAAAGCGCGGGGGACCTGGAACTCACTGTGTTCAAGTGTGCTCTGCAGGAGGGTGCACATCCCCTTCCTGGGTTCCCCTCAGGTCTCTGCACTGGGAGAGTCAAGGGCAGGGTATGAAGTGCTGTTCCACCAGGCTTCTGCCCTCCCCAGCTCCCCACCAAACGGGAGCCCCAGGCCTTCCCGCCTGTCCATCCTCCTTCCTTCTCCCAGACTGCCTGGGAGATGGGGCGCAGGGGTCACCCTGGCACATACCTACCACCTAGAGGGAGGACAGAGTTGAACAGGGTATGTCTGACATCTGGATCCACCAGCATCACCTGCCCCTGTGCCTGGGGAGTTCAAGTCCACCCAGGGGCACTTCCCTTCTCTGGGCCCTAAGCACGTTGCATCAATAGCAAAAGTCGGACCAAAACAGAAACAGAAACTTCATCCTGCCAGCACAGCCTGCTGGTCGCTGCAGGCATCCCTGGAGCTCTCTGCTGGCTAGGGTGCCGCCTGGCAGATGAAGCCACAGCCATCAGAACTGGTCCCTTGTCCTTCCCCAGGCCAGCTTCCACTGGACACCTGCTTCATGGTCTGCTGGCTTTTTCTCCAGGGAACTGGCAGGGGGGAAGAGGGGAGGAAATAACAGGGCCTTACTTCTTCCTCCAAGCACACAAGCTGTCCCTGGTCCCCTCTGGTGCTCCCCAAAAACAGATCCCAGGGAACAGAGGACATGAAGTCCCTTTGTAGACTGCATGACTTGCATGAGTTTTTGGAGCACATAAATGTGCAAAGAGCTCTTATAGCAGCTAATGTGAGTAAACTTACCCTTTTTCAAGTGTATCATCTCTCATGATTTTCCAGTGGGCAGAAAGGGCAGAAATGACCCCTCCATTTTAAGAGATGAAAATACTGAAGCTCAAGACATTAAGAGGTCTAGTTATGGGTTGGTCCCATAGCACAGAGGTTATGAGCTATGCATTGGGAACCATATCCTGGGTGGCCAACTGAGGTTCAAGTCCCAGCCCCAGTGGCTTGAGAAAGGCCCTGGGCGTGTGTGCATTCACGCCCAAATTCCTGATGGGACAAAGAAATGGAGAAGAAGGGAGTGCAACGTGACCACACCCCATTGGAGGGTTTCTGTCTCTCTCTCTCTCTCACTAGCATGTGCACCTTCTAGCAATTAAAAAAAGAGAGAGAGATTTGGCTAAATACACACATTTCATTCAAACCCTAGCCCTTGGCTCCAGAGCTGCCCCTCCTCCATACAACACGCCTTCAATCTGCTTCCCACCTTAATCTCATCTTTAAGGCACACATCTGCTGAGTCTTTCACTTGGTATAATCTACTTAAACCGCTTCTTTTGCAAACATACAGCTGAGTTTGTCCATCCAGCGTCTCCGTCGACATGCCTGAGATGCTCCTGGGAGTGCACAGCCACCCTTTCCTCCTACCCCTCTGCAGCCCACTCCCACTTTTCCTTTCAGACCCTGATCTCACCTCACTCCTTTGTCCCGCAGTGGCCTGTGATAGCCCATGGGACTTTGCCCATCCTTCTATCCAAACACGGCTCATCTAAACAATTCTTTCTTAGGCTGTCGCCACAGTGCAGTGGTAATGCACTGCTAGAGAAGCCAGATCCCTCATGGCCACCATGGTTTCAATTCCTGGCCTGGTCAGCCTGAAATGGACCAGGCACACACGCAAGTGCTTAAAATCCAAGACTGGAGAAAGGGGATTGTGGCAGGACCAGACCACGTAGAGGATGCCTCTCTCTTGCTCTCTCATGTGTGCGTGCATGTGAGCTTTATAAAGAAGGAAAAAAGATTCAAATTAAGAAAATGATTTCTGGGGCCTACAGGTGGCATAATGGTTAAGGTGCTGGACTCCCACATGGCAAACCACAGTTCGAGTCCCAGACCCGGTGCCTGGAAACTTATGCCAGGCACAAGTGCATGCATGCCCCCAAATCCTGAGAGAATGGAAGAGAAGGGATTGTGGTGTGGCCATCCCCCTGGGTGGTGATTTTTCACCTTCTCTCTCTCTGTGTCTCTCTCTGTCTCTCAGGTGAGAGAGAATGCTATAGCGCTATAGGCATGCACCCTATAGCAAAAATCTCTCTTTAAAAAAAGTGTCTGCTTCTCCCACCACACGATGAATTCTTTGCGATCACAGAGTGTCTGCTGGAGAGGCGCTGGACTGTGACACAGAGTTAAAACGCATGCTCCATAGGCTGACTCACATGGGAAAGTTCTGGATTTGTATCCAGAGACCTGAGTATGCCAGACATGAGTGCCCATGATCCAGGGCCAACTGTAGCTGGCATGGAGCAAAGCATTAAGATCTTGTTGAAGGTTCTCTCTTTCTCACTAATAACTACATTTTACAAACTTAAAAAAAAAAATTCTGCTGTATGAAGGGACAAGCAAGGTAGAGGGGCCTAGCTCTCTAAGGTGACTCTTGGGTGACTGAGTCATATTAACCAAGTGTCTGGCATGCTTCTCTAAGTTCTAGGCCATCATCATGGAAGGGCTATGCCTCACAAAGCTATAACCGTAAACGTTGGTTTCCCATGGTCATGCTGTTTCTGCCTTATGAAGGAGGCAGGGAGGGTGGTTTCTCCCCTTCTCCTATCACCAAGAGCCATGTCATGGACTGAGTGGTGAGGAGAAACAGAGTGGGTGGGTTGGGTCTGGACAACACAGAAGATATGTCCGTTGACACCCAAGGATGGCAGGGGCATGGACAGGGTGACCCCAGGCATCCTGGGAGACACTGCAGGCTCTGACAGGCCAGGGGCCAAGCGTGGGTTCAGGTCAGAGAATAACAATGCCTGTTCTGTTGTCTCTTTCTATAGTGTGCTAGTTCTCCCAAAAGGCACATCCAGTTTTCATGCACACAGGATTCATTTCCCGAAGAGGTTTAACCAGCAGCTGTTGGCAGGAAATTCCCTCTGCATCATTTTCTCTCCTCTGTAACTATTTAGGGTAAGCTGGGCTTGCAGGATTCAGCCTCTGCTTCTTTGACTGGAACCTAAAAACCAAATCCCTCCCCCACCCCTCATCTCCAGGGCCTGGAACTCAAGACTAAGATGAGTCAGAAAGTTTGCAGGCAAACATGATTCCTTTTTCATTCCTACTCTCCCTTTACCCTTCCCAGATCCCACACTCAACACTTCTCTGACCAGACGTGGGTGGGATTTCCCCACACACCAAGCAATTCTCCCACAGACACCGACCGGATGTTCTCCACTTCATTTCAACTCTGACCCTGAGAACGTGTCAGATCCTGCATTTGTAGGGCTCAGTCCCACAAGACTGCCCCACTTTGGACGCCGATTTCAAGTAGCAGGTTGTCACCGATACCTCTGACCAACTGGCTACAAACCAGGCTTCCCATAACTCCCTCCTTGGGTTCAACTAATCGGCTAGGACGGCTTGCAGAAGTTGGGGAGACGCTTACTTAGAGTCGCTAGTTTATTATAATGGATAAAGATGAACAGCCAGATGATGAGAAGGATAAGGCAAGAGGGGAGGAATTTAACCACCCCGTCCCCAGCACCTCTAAGCATTCAGCAACCTGGAAACTCTTCAGTGTAGTTCAAGAGTTTTTATAGTTATCTCTCCACCCTCGGGACCAGCAGATGGCGTAATGGTTATGAGGCTGGACTTCCACTTAGTCAACTGCAGTTCAAGTCCTGACTGGCGGCATAAAGCTCAGGCTGAGTGCATGTGCATGTGTGCTCCAAATCCGAAGAGGAG